AAGAAGAAGAAGAAGAAGAAGAAGAAGAAGATGAAGAAGAAGAGAGATGAGCAACCGCTGCCACGCTTGGCTGGCCCCAACGACGACTCTCCTAGGCGAAAGTAGCTCAAAGGCTCAAAGATTTTTTCCTTTTCGGGGTTATGCTTATGGTCGCCAATCAGCGAAAGATCCAGCTCCATTTCAAAAGTGAACTCCTGTGGGGTTATGGTCGCCAATCAGCGAGAGATCCTAGCGCCATTTCAAAAGTGAACTCTTGTTGACTTGAAAACCCGAACGGGCTAGCTAAGCGAGGCTCCCTTCCCACCATCATATACACCGACCCCTTCCATCTTTCGAAATCTCTTTCTTTGATTCTCCTCCATCCACCAACGCACAACCAAGACAAAGCAGGTCGATCAATACAACAACAAGGTACCATCATGTCATACTACTCCGACAGCGTGTACTCGCAAGACGGGACTGCGGAGCGACTCCCGACCCCTGGCAGAGGGGGCGACCGGTATGGCGCGCAGCCTCAAGCGTCTGCTCGGTCGTTCCCCTCTGTCGGGGGTCATGGTCAGTATGCTGGACGGCCTCAAGCTGTCGCCCGTTCTCCTTCCCCCGTCGTAGGTTACGACCCGTACGCCATTGCCGCGCAGCAGCCTTTCTCCCGGCCCCTCCCCCGCGTCAGACGTCGCGATCAGAACGTTGGGCGCCCGCAAGCTGCCGACCGCCGATATGCTCCGGCCTCTTCCGCCGCTTCGCAGTCCTACTATCAACCCATCCCCGACCGTCATGGCCCTGCCTCATACGAGGGGTACGGGAACTTCCAAGGTGGTGCCTCCGGCGCGTCGCGAGACTATGCAGGCGCGGAAGAGATTGACAGCAGAGCCTCGATTCGCACGGAGTACGGTCCTGGCCCGGACAGCTGTGTTATCCCCTCTCCTCAGCCCGAGGTGACTTACGAGCAGGAGACAGCTGGCTATAATTTCGGAACCAACCAACACGCTGCCATGTCCCACCCTACCCGCCGGGTGCCCTTTGACGAGCAAGGATCTTCTCCTCTTCAGTTTGAGGCTTTTCAACATGAGGAGCCATACCCAGACGGCAGTTACGAAGACCAAGGCAGAAGTTTCGGTGGTCGATCTGCCCGAGGACCATTGACGCATTCTCCTCTGACGTCCCACCCTACCCGACGCATGACCTCCCACGAGCAAGCAACATCTCCTCTTCAGAATGAGGCTCTTCAAGATCAAAGCGGAAGTCTTGGTAGTCGATCTGTCCGAGGACCACTGCCGCATATTCCTCTGATTCCGTCTGTCCGGCTCGCCAGCCTGCCAAAGTTTCCCACGCCCCCCGGTCCTGTTGTCCAGCCCTTCGGAGCTGGTGGTACAGGTGGAATCCCGCTCACGCTCCCGCGAAAGCACGAGTACACAGTGAGAAATGTCAGCGATCCTAGCTCGGTCGTAAAAGTGGTATGTAAGAACCTTCTAGTGAACGAGCTTTAGCTAACTTACAATAGACCAATGTCCAGGCCACAGGGGAACCGGCAGGACCGGCACTTGGGGATCTCGCAGAAATCAGCGGTCTTGCCGAGAAAGTCATCAGCGCTCTTGACAACGATAGTAGCTTTGGTACCTTCGGCAACAAAGTCAAGCAATGGTTGGGAGACGTGCCTAGCTTCGTTGATTGTTTTCAAGATGTCGTTGAAAAGACTAAGAGTGCCGAAAAGTCGCTGAAGCACGACGAGAACTACTACGCCAACCTTGAAGATTTCCGAATCCGCTCCATGTCCAATTCAGTAAGTGGTTGTCCAAATTCTCACTGACAGAATTGTAACTGACTCTTTGATAGGCATTCGAAGCACTGCTGGATATGATGAGGAAGGTCGAGGTCGTCATCGGCGACGACAAGTCTTTGGCCCGTAAGACGCGATCAAAGATCATCAAAGGCCTCGGCGAGTTACACTATTCGTTGGAGAGATTGACGGCGAAGATCGAGGGTATATTAGGGGAGGAGGTCCAGAAGTCGAGATATGTGTTGAACAAGATCAAGGCGTGCCGGCAGAATCTGAAGGTACAAAACCAATGAATCTCAAGCGGACCACAAGATCCTCTACTGCGAGCAGAGATAAATCAGATAGATGTACCTAATTCTTCTCCGAGAGCAAGAAAGGGCATATCCAATGAATTGCAGATGGATATCCTCGTTCTATTTTGACGCATTCGTATCGAGTGAATTTGTGCCTGGCGCGATTGGAATTGCTGATATGAGATTGATCGATCTCTCTGCTACTTGGCCAAGAGCTTTTTAGCCCGTGTACCAATGCCCTTCATTGAACGGCGACCGGAAACATTCAGCAGAGGATATCGAAAAGCCTTCTTGATCTTGAGAACATCAAGATAAGCTGAGTCTGCTGCTCGATCCTCAGAGGCAAGGTACAACGTCTCCTGTATAAACGGTAAGCAATCTTGCCAGGCTGGAGTGGGGGATTTCAGGAGCTCACTGCTCCCAGTGTAGGAAATTCAGCGAGAGGCTGAGAAACGGAATCGAAGTCGATCCATTAGTCCTGGTTGATATTGTCTTTATACACCTTGTATATTGGTCGGGATCCGGACTTGCAAGGCCACCCGCAAATACACAGAACGCATAAAACAGGACTTTTACCGTACATATTCTAGAAGCGGTCTCTCACGCCACCAGATAGGACGAGGTTAAGCTGGGGAATAATTCATTGTGCTGCTCTTGCGGTACAGTATACATGTCCGGCCCAGATGCTCGAGAAAATGGGCTAAGTAAGTAGATGGCTTTCTTCGATAATTTGGGATTTCAGGAAGCTAAAGAAGTCGATGACTTTTTACACGAAGAAACATACACGGAGATGTAAACCGCGTACTGTTTGAAGATCCGGCATATCCAAGACTGTATAAAAAGTTGTATTCTCTAGGTAGCTACCCGGGCATACCTTCTCGAGAGACATCCCTCGCTTATGTAAGCCACAAATCTACGCTAAGATAGCAACATCCAAAAAAAATCCCCATTCCGATAATCAAATTCTTCCCTCTTCCAACTGCACATCCACCGCCAGCGTCCAATTCAACCCACCCTCTCACCCAATATGGATGCCCACGCCCTCCTCACCTCCCAAGGCTGGCGTGGCACCGGCAACTCCCTCCATCCCACCTCCAACACCATCGGCCTCTCGCGGCCCCTGCTCGTCTCCAAGAAAGTCGACAACCTCGGCATCGGCAAGAAGCAGCACCGCACGAGCGACATGTGGTGGATGAACGCCTTCGATAGCTCGCTCAAGGGCCTGGACACGAGCCACGAGGGCCAGGTGAAGCAGACGGTCACCAGCGGCGGCCTGGACATGGTGCAGAAGGGGGGCGCGAAGTGGGTGGGGAGCAAGGGCGGGCTTTATGCGAGTTTTGTGCGCGGGGAGGGGCTGGGCGGTACGATTGGGGAGAGGGGGCAGGAGAAGACGGGGAGCGAGGGGACGGGTACGGGTACGGGTACGGGTACGGGGAGCGAGATTGGGAGTCGGAATGGGAGTGCGAAAGACGGGAAAAGGAAAAGGGAAAGGGAGGACGATGGGGAAAGTAAGGAGGAGAGGAGGGAACGGAGGGCTGCGAAGAGAGCTGCCAGGGCGGAGAGGGTGGAGGAATTGGTGCTTGAGGCTTCGAGATCTGAGGAGAAGAAGGCGAAGAGGGCAAAGGTCGAAGAGAATGGCGAGACGAAGGAAGAGCGGAAGGCGAGGAAGGCCGCGAAACGGGCGCTCAAGGGACAGGAATCTAAACCTGCTGACGAGTCAAGTGAAGACGCCGAGACGACATCTGCAACGAGGCCCGAGACCAAAGAAGAGCGCCGAGAACGAAAACGACTGAAGAAACTTGCGAAGGAGGCTGCTTCGACACAAGCGGAGGATTCATCCGAGAAGGCAAAGAAGAAAAAGAAGCGTAGGAGAGAGTGATTCCCATGCCAGGAATACGGCTTTTTCATCTTCTGCATCCGAGGCACGGCGTTTGGGAGCTTGAAATGGGTATACATTTGCAGCGATTTTCTTGTAGAATTGCACAATACGCAGAAATCAAGGCTCCTTGGGTATCTTGCCTGGCTTGTTCGACAATAACCATGGTCTTCGCTCCCAGAACTCATCCCGGATGATGTCTACGTGGTGGACTGTGATTCTGGCCTTCGCTCTCCTCTTCCTGTCCTTCTCCTCTTGGGTCTTGGACAGGGCCAGCTCTTCTACTGTCTTGGCGGAGTCTTCGTCTATGATCTCTGATTTTGTCCCCGGCTCGACTAATTCGTACTACGAAGGGTCTGATAAGAAACGGACATGAGTTTGGGGCTAGAGGATGACTTACATCCCGAAAGACCACACTGCCTTTCTTGTATATCTCAGGCTCGTTGTTGTAATTGATCTTGAATCTCGAAAACAAGATCTCATTCTTATCCGCAGCCAGTGATCCCTTTAAAGTCAGCATGCTATTTTCTCTGCTTCGTGATCCAAGACTTACAGCCAGCTCCTTTTCAGCACCCTTGGCATCAAACCCACCATTCAGAATCAGCGCCCAAAAAGTGGTGTTGTACAGATTATTGATGTGACCTTCTAGGATCAGCCACTTTCGACGGGAAACGTGATGCCAACTAGGGCTGTCTCACAATCAACCTGTCTCCAGCTCATATAATCTCTCAGGTTCTGCACGCTAGGGTACTGTACCGCCCTCCCATCAAAACTCGGCAGCGGCGCCGTGAGCGGCACGTCCGGGAAGTGGGTGGACCATAGATGGACGTAGTAAGCTGTGAAAGTTGACACAATCGTCGAGACCAATTTACTGCCTCACTATCAGCCCTACAAGTCCTCCATACCTGAAAGAAGTTGGGAAGACTCGTTCCCCATACCTTGACCGCCTCTCAAACAGCGTACAGGTTTTGTGGAAGACGAAGCTACTCCACAGGTCAGGTCCGGCCCTCCAAACCCATCCCCGGATGGAGGAGTTAGTAGCGGGAGGGTAAACACCTACCTATACTCATCGCTGATCCCGTACGCAAGGACGATATCCGGCAGCTCGTTCATGACGGCCATGGCCGCCGCGTTCATAAGATCCAGCGCCCGTCTGTCGTTCGGCTTCTCGAAATCATACTTGCTCGCGAACCTAAAATCTCTCTCGTGAGCCTTCAAACTCCTCCTTGCCTTCTCTCCCCACGGCCTGGATGAGACGGGGAAAGAGAACGGAAAGAGAAGGGAAGGGAAGGGAAGGGAAAGAAAATAAAAGTACTTGTGGAATCCCCGGCCGTCGATGCGCACCACGATCCACGTGTTGGGGATGAGCAGGTCCGGCTGCTCGAACGCCTTGACGTATTCGTACCTGTGGTTGTTCGCATTAGTGGTGAACGAGAATGTGATATGGTAAATGAGGGAGGGAGGGTACTTTGAATTGGCCATTCTGTCTGTGAGTTCGTTGGTAGTTGTGTGTACCTCCTAAGCGATTTAATGGAGAACGGAAGGGAGTGATCGAGACACATTCTCGGGCTGGGCGGATTGATGAATAAATCTCTAACCGAGACAACGTCGGATGACCAGGATGTTCGAGTCCAGCGAGATAAAAGTGTAACAGAAAGCTCTACTGCCCCGTACGAAAGACTTCACAGTTAGGTACGAAGTTGAATCTGATTGCTGCGAATAGAGACTTTAGAAGGGTGCCTGCCCATTTCCTCCTACTTAAGTCACGTGATTATAAATGACCTCCTTCTGAAGAAGATTTTCTTTCCCGACCGAGGCCGTTTGCTTGCTGTCAGATCCAACTTGGACTCTCGGAAGCCTGATCGTATGAAGCCTGATCGTATTACCAAAGATGGTAAGAGATGTTGATCTCTTGCATTGCACAGCAGTAGCCGTCTCAGCCAACAGTCTTTGAGAACTTCATATCTCGTCCAATCTCCTTCTATGCACAGCGCAGGCTCTATTTTCATGATAAACATACTAGAGCAGAAGTCTTTCCCAAACATTCCCCGGGTCTTCAGCTCGAAAATCCTTCAGCATTCAGCCATCAGCCAGCCGTAGTGCGTCTGTGCCGAGACCAATCCCGGATGGCCAACAGGCGCGTCGAGCTCTCCAGGCTGCACGCCCTCGAGATGCCGAACTCGAGGGCGTGCCTGAACTCGTTTCTCTGCGCTCTTAGTCAGTGCTTCGCATCATCGTGATATACCTAACATTCTCAGACTGGGAAGATACTCAATACCACAGACGAAAACTCCTCAACCCCAGATGCAAGGCACTCCCATTAGCCGGGCTTGTAAAGTAGAATGTGCCGTCACCTCGCGGGTTGGAACATCGAGGCGTCGGCTAGACTCGAGCTACTCATGAACGGGACAGTGTTATATAAGCCTCAAACCTGCCCTCACCAAAACAACCAAGAGGATCTGTGAATAGCATGTCGTGAGGGAGGGAGACGAGTTCACTCCTTGACAGCGCGGCGGAGACCTGTATCTGAGACGACGAGAACGAAATGTGTACCGCAGTAAGCAGGAGGAAGTGTTTAGAAGAGCATTCAGAAATGGGTTGGTATTTCTATAAAGTGGTAAGCACACTGGCATTCTTGTACCACGTTAACAACGGATTCTCCCCATTCTTCGTTTCCGTCTCCTCGACATTTGCCAATGCTCTCAAGAACTCTTCATGCGAAGAAACTTCCGTGAGTTTGCCCGTGATAGCTCTATACATGAGTTCCATCACGTTAAAATCCGTAGGGAACAGAATGTCGAAATAACCTTGATGTACCTGTTCTCAACTATCAGTACTCTTCACTTTTGACAATTGATAACAGAGGAACTATAGACAGCGGGGAGGTAGAAGGAGACTTACTAAAGGCGTTGTCACAGGGACCGTTCTCCTCTTATACCTTGTCTGTACAACCGGCGCATTGATCCCCTTGATCGTATCCGGCAGGTCATGAAAGTCACTCGTCACTAACCGATGGCGTGGGAAATACATCGCCAGGATATCAAAGAACTGCATCAGTCTCGTAGGTATGTACTCCGGATCACTCAGATTGGGTGTGAACGGCATCAGATTCCTCAGTTGCCGCAGAGTCTTGCTACGGTATAATGGCAGGGAATAACATCCTCCTGTTGCAGCCTGCCGCACACGTAGAAATCTGGCAGCAACAGGATCGATGGTAGGTACGAAGAACTCGAAAAAATCGCCTTTCGAGTCTATCAGTACTGTGCCTTGTAGGGGCTCTGCCGTCCACGGATCATATCGAATGGAGTCATGAGCGAAGTTGTCAAAGACTTCCATGGCTAGAAAATAGCATGGAGCCGGAACGACCTGGTCCCATTCGAAAATCGACTTGTTGATGATTTCCACCTTGCTCGCGTGCCCCCTCGAATCCGCCGTCCTCAGCAATTGGTTCTGTTGCAGCTTCGCAAGGTTGGTTGAGATTTCAATGATCTTGAATTTAGTACGGTGGTAGACTTGTGGCTCTACCTCACGGATATAGTCCAAGATATTGAGCATTAGAGTCCCGTTACCGGCTCCCATTTCGTAGATTACTAGGTCGTCGTATGGATATTGTGCGTGGTATGGACGTTGTGAGACCATGTAGTTAGATACCAGGTATCGAGCTATAGCTTCTCCGTAGTAGGGGCGAAAGAGCTCGGTAGGGGTGTGCCATAGCTGTCTCGTCTCATTGGGCTCCGTGAGATCCAATTTATCTTCAAATTCCGTATACCGCTGGCCTAGCAGCTGGTGGAATTCTGGCTCGTCTTCGAGCTGGCTGAAGTTGAACGGCTCTCCAGGCGTGAAGATCACAACTTGTTTCGAGAAATACCCGTACGAGGGATTGTATAGAGAGTCTGCAAAGAACGTAAGTCCTGATCTTAGGTCCGAATGCGAGGTAGACCGACCTTCTATAAAGTCTCGCATGAGCATCTTGACTCTCCGCGGCCTCTCCTTTCTCCCCCTGAGCTGATCCGCGGTGACCATTGGGTACTTCTGGTATTCGCCCGACATATCCAGAGGGAACAGGTCCGTCCTCTGCTGCCAATGGTGATCATTGCGACTCGCGCCATTCCCATTCCCATTCCCATTCCCTCCCCTCCCAGAGGCATACCGGACCTGTGTCCGCCGCAGCTGTCGGCCACATTGTATCCTGACTGGCGCTGACGACTGTGATATCAGAGACTTGCAAGGTCGATGGGTGAACAGCTGTCGAAACAAGCGGGAGATGATTGGGGAGTCCATGTGTTTACATGTTGTTGAGGTTGGGAGCTTGGTCGCGAGTCGCGAAGTCAAAATGTCCAAGCTCCTGCCCGTAACCCGACCTCTTTCGCTGCACCCACAATACACGGCGAATCCTTGCGACAATGTACATCATCACTCGAGAATGGTGACATGATGTCTGTGAGCAATCATCCAAAGGCCTACGGTACTGCGGCCGTCACGTTCGCATTCGTCGCCGGCGTCCTTTTCACGCTGGGCTTCAAGGACTTCTACCCAGACCTCGAACGCCGTTACCAGCGACGACGAGGCCAAGGAACTTCCTCTTCATCTGCTTCCAGAACACCGAGAACCTATCTCCCGCCCGTCAAGCTCGATGATAACACCCGCAGCGCGCAACAGTCAATCACCGGTCTCCCAACACCGCCCTTACCCGAAGGAATCGAAGGCTGCATAGGCAATACGCCCCTCTTCAAGGTCAAGAGCTTGTCCGAAGCTACAGGATGTACCATCCTCGCCAAAGCCGAATTCTTGAATGGGGCTGGAGGAAGCCCCAAGGATAGGGTTGCGCTCAACATGATCCGAATGGCTGAGGAGGAGGGTTTGTTGGCTCCTGGGCGTGGGGATACGATCTATGAGGGCACAGTGGGCAGTACGGGAATCTCATTAGCGACTCTGGCAAGGGCGTTGGGCTACAAGGCACACATATGCATGCCGAATGATCAGAGCAAGGAAAAGTCGGATCTGCTGCATCATCTGGGAGCTACTGTTGAGAGGGTCACACCTGCACCCATTACGTCCACGGAACACTTCGTAAATTTGGCTAGGAGGAGAGCGGCTGAACATACTGCTTCCAAGGAAGATGACAGTAAGGGGTTCTTTGCGGATCAGTTCGAGTCGTTGGCGAACTACAGGGCGCACTTGAAGAGCACTGGACCCGAAATATGGGAACAGACTGGTGGGCAAATTGACGCTTTTGTTGCTGGGGCTGGGACTGGAGGTACGGTCTCTGGGATTGCAAAGTACTTGAAAGAGGATATGGGTATGGGGAATAACCTGAAGGTAGTCTTGGCTGACCCAGAGGGCAGCGGACTTTACAATAAAGTGAAACATGGAGTCATGTTTTCGCCTACAGAGAAAGAGGGGACTAGGAGGAGACAACAGGTCGACACCATTGTCGAAGGTATTGGTATCAATCGGCTTACTGAAAATTTCGACGCTGGAAGAGAGCTCATCGATGATGCCGTGAAAGTCACGGATTTGCAAGCACTCAAGATGGCCAGATGGCTAGTCGAGAAGGATGGTGTATTCGTGGGAAGCAGCAGTGCTGTCAATTGCGTTGCGGCTGTTATCACTGCACTCCAGATGCAAGAGGACAGTCGAGTTGTCACTATTCTTTGCGATAGTGGTACGCGACACCTGAGCAAGTTCTGGAAGAAAGTCGAAGAGCTAGGCTTGGAAGAAGAGCACGATCAAGCTGATTTATTGGCTCTACTTGGCATCCAACCCGAGAGATGAGGGTATCCCGGCACTGGGCGAGGATTAGGTAGTCCTGCTCCTTGAATGAGTACCCACGACCTTTCCTATTACTTTGGCAACTCCAAAACTTGAATTTCACCTGATCATCAGCATTCAAAGCAGGTTTGCTGGTCGACTGTCGAAAATGCTTTTCTCGCCCAGGTCATATGAGATAACACAAAGCTCTGACAACTAATCGTCCACAGCTCGGCGGCTAGAGCAGGTGAGACCGGCCAGGAAAATCAGATGAGTAGAGTCAAAGACGGCATAATGCGGATCAATGCTTCTCTATTCTAGCACCCTATCTACACCAACACTCGGTATCCCGTCACTCCGCGTCAACCTCATCCCCTCTCTACCAGCCCCAGCCATGTATGCATCATCACCAACCCGGAGTATAGATGCCTAGTTCCGATCATCTGTCGGCCGCCTGACCGGCCGTGCGCTCATCAAATAAAACGCCCGGATTCCCCAGTCAGTCGCCAAAGCGCTCCACCCCAGTCGTCATTTTGTGTTTAGTAGATGGAAAGGCGCTCATATCAAGTAGTTACGCTCAAACAAAGGTTTTTGTCCAGGTCAGCAGGGCGTTGGTGCCGAATCGGGATTTTTACTTTAATCCAAAGGGTTATCAGGATGAGGTGGCAGAGGTTGATCCGGCGGCTTGGCGGGCGGTTTGTTCAGCTGCTCGGACGGGGGCGAAGAAAGCGTGGGCCATAGCTTCCTTGGCTGTTAGTCGTTCCTATGAATTGTTAGTAATGAGCCGGAAATTGAAGAGCGGGAACAGACTTGATGGTCATATCTCAATAACTTATCAAGAAAATCAATAGCCTCATTCGTGACAAATCTCTGGTTCTCTGAGTTGACAAAGCTGTGCCAGTTCTTCTTGGGGAATCGGCCAAGGATATCGTCGTACTGGGCATCCAACTCAATCTCGTACTTGTCAAGGTAGTCGAACAAGTCTTCGGTACCGAGGACCTTGGCAATCTTGACCAGTTGGTCGGAGTTGCTGTTGCCATGGAAGAAAGGCTCCTTGCGGAAGATCATGGAGGCGAACATGGCTCCCAAGGACCACATGTCAAGAGAGTAGTCGTATTCCTGGAAGTCTACGAGGAGCTCTGGACCCTTGAAGTATCTGGATGCGACTCGCACATTGTACTCGGTTCCTTGGTGGTAGAATTCCGCGAGACCCCAATCGATTAATCGTAACTAGCCATGTCAGTTCCGCAATTTGATCCATGAGCCAGAACTCCAACCTTCTTATTCTCATGATCAATCATGACATTGTGAGGCTTCACATCACGGTGCATGATTCCCTTGCTATGGCAGTAATCGAGTGCCTAACAAATCAGCGCCGACCTTGCAATACCCAACCCACGGCTAGAGTCCATACCTTCAACAGCTCAAAGATGTAGTATCTGACATCATAGTCCACAAATTTGGGATAGAGTGATCGAAAGTCCGTGTTGTTGACGTACTCGAAGATCAAAGAAGGGGTTTTGCTCTGCATCATGAATGAGTCGTCTGTCTCTTCATCTGACAATACAAAACCGTCGGAAGCGCATTTGCCTCCCCCAGCTTTGGGAGCAAGCTCAGGACAGAAATTAGGAGAGGACTGGTTTACTTGTTGGTCTCGAACGACGTCCAGCAGCCCGATGATGTTCGGACCGCCCGAGAGGTTCTGCAGGATCTTGATCTCCCTCTTGATCTTCTTCTTCTTGACCGGCTTCAGGACCTTGATCACGCACTTCTGGTAGTTGACGACGTTTATGCCTTCGAAGACCTCCGAGTACTTTCCACGTCCTGTCTCGAGATGTATTAGCCATCTGCATATGGAGATGAGGGGATGGAATAGGGTAGGATAGCTGCAACTCCAGCCCGGCCGCGCATACCGATCTTTCGCACGACTTCATAATTTTCCAACACGCCCCAAGTTATGTTGACGCTATCGTAGTCCCAGTAAGACCGCGGCATCTGCTGGTTGACATCCGCATAAACACGCGCCATTGCAGCGGGCCTGCTGGCAAGGCACAGCGCAGCACGGGAGCGGTGGGAGGGAGATTGTCGCCGCTCAAAGGGGATCGCGGGCGGCGGCAAGGATGGACGTGAGGCTCTTCGCAGCGTAAAGAGACACTCGTATGCTGTCTGTGATGTTAAAAATGCCCGAGGGTGCGACGGCGAAGAGCCTGGACGAGAGGGCACTGGGCTGGATTGGAGTTGGAGTGATTGCCGCTGGTGCAGAAATGCCATGCAAAACCCCTCGCTAGCCTGATCGGGAGTGGGGGTGAGGTTAGTGAAAACCCGAGTGCTGTTAGCTGTATATTATCAAAAATATCTGCTTGTTAGGTGCACGCGGAACAACAACATCTTGAACAGGTAAGCTCGCAAAGTCGCAAAAGACACAAAATAACTTATAGGTCCTTATACGAATCGAGAAGAACCGAGAAGAATCTCGACAGAAAAGACGTCGAGAACGGAACAATCAGAGCGTTTCAGTCATCCTCGAATACCTACCTACCTACCTCCCTATTCAAGCTTCGAAATTTGAGCTTCGCAATACCAGGGCTACAAGCAACTCCCATAACATAGCGAATTGTCCACCTCATAACTTTTCCCATCTGCGGGACAAAAAATAGGTAGAAAGGGGCTCTGCGAAGGGGTTTTCGGCACCACACCTACCGACAAAAAACCAGAGCTCCAGACGATGTCCACGTCGTGATATACCCTAAACGTCCTCCTCCACTACCTCCACCATCAACATGCTCTACGACCTCAACGTCCCCTGGATACCCTCCCAGCCTCCCGCCCACCTCGAACGCACCATCTCCTTCCTGTCGACCCTAGGCTACAACACCCTCGCCATAAACCACACGCACTCGGGTCCCCTCCCCTCGCAAGTAATCTGCGCCATACCTAGTACGCAGCCCTTCCCTCTCCCAAAAAACACCACTCTCCTCCGACGCTGCACACTAGTCTTCAGCGACCCCTCGCAAAACTACCGCATGTCCACCCTCGCCGCCGCCTACGACATCTTCGCACTCCGGCCTACGAACGAGAAGGCCTACTTGGCAGCCTGCACCACACTGACCGAGCATTCCTTGATTTCGCTGGATCTCACGCAGCGCTACCCCTTCCACTGGAAGCCGAAACCGCTCATGACCGCGGTTAACAGGGGCGTGAGGATCGAGATATGCTATGCGCAGGCCTCAGAGGGGGGAAGTGAAGCGAGGAGGAACTTCATCAGTAATGCTATGGCGGTTGTGAGGGCAACAAAGGGACGGGGACTGGTGATTAGCAGTGAGGCGCAAAGCGTGCTGGGATGTAGAGCCCCGGCGGACGTGGTGAATCTGCTGGGGGTTTGGGGACTGGCGAGAGAGAGGGGGGCGGAGAGCATGGGAGTGACGAGTAGGGAGGTGGTGGTTAATGAGGGAGTGAAACGGAGGAGTTTCAGGGGCGTGGTCGAAGTAATTGATGGTGGGGAGAATGAGCTTGCGAAGGTAGATGCGGAAGGGAAGGGCAAAGGCAAAGGGGGAAAGGCGAGAGAAGAGAATGGGAATGCGCAGAAGGGGAACAAGAGGAAAGTGGAGGAGACGAACGCTGATGGGACGCCGATGTTGAGCAAGAGAGCTATGAAGAGGGCGAAGTTGGCGTCGAAGGCTGCTGTGTCGTCAGAGAATCTCAGCAGTAACTCGGCAGATACCCCAGTTCACGAGTCCGCAACCCCCAGCACAACGAAACCAATACCAAAAGTCAAGAGCTGACATCAAACACCATGCCTTTGATTTGCATCTCTTTGCTTTGTACGAATGCGCTGATCAAATGATGAAGTGAATGTTATCTACAGCCAAACATGTCGCCTGGACAATCTATTCCATCCCACTATTTCCCGGTTCACCCTCCCTATATCCCCGTCCCTCTTCCAACGTAATAAAGATCTCCCTAAGAAGCACCTGGTATACAGAAAGCGCACCGTCCTATATCCGACCCAATCTAATCCAGAGTAGTCCAATCCAATACAATTAATGTGAAGACATAAAGGCACATGCATATCAATTACATACTCACACCGTTCTCTTGCCCCTTTCCTCGCTTAACCCCACAACAAACACAACGACTACAGACCTCACGCTCACCGCTCACGCTCTCGGCTTTATTTATTCGGTTTCGGCAATCCCGTAGCCAAGCCCAAAACAAGATTGCTCGTTAGACTGTACGTCCCGATGTTAATTCTCTGCGCTGCTGCTTGTTGTTGTAAGGCGGCTCTGTAAGAAGGAAGTTAGCACGGCACGCAACCACGACGCAGTGCAGCCGAAAGACAATCTGAAGATGAAAAATGACGCGGGTTTTGTTTTCTCTCAGCTCAAGGGCATGGCTTGGGAGTGAGGCAGTGGATAGATAGAATAATAATGTGAAGGAAAGAAAGTAGAAAAGAGGAAGAAGGGAAGGAGGAGGGAGAGGAGGAAAGAGGGGTGAATAGGCTTACGCAGCTTCAGGGTTCAGCGCCGCCGCGTCGGTTGGTTTCATCGCTTGCGCGGACACTCCTGCGGCCCTGGACACGGAGAGTTCGATGTTGCTCTGCGGGGCTGCGGCGGCTGGCGCTTGAGGAGCGAGGCCTGGTGCTGGTGCTTGCGCGAGAGGAGTTCCTGCTGGAGGTGCCGCGGCAGCAGGAGCATTCGGCCCAGGAGGAGTCTGTGCTGGCGGGAGTTGGGCAGCGGGTGCGGGCCCGGTTTGCACGATGACTGCTGGCTTCAGGGTTGCGGAATTGATGGCAGCCGGCGCGGCGCTGGTTTAATGTTAGTACTAGGAGATCTTTGTCTGGAGACTGGGGATTCGCTTCGGTGTGCGATCCCGGCTAACGAGCAAGTGTAAAGTTACCGAGGACCTTTAGATGGGTGTCCGATCCTTGGAGTCTACCCAAGCGAGGGAAAGGGGATAGGCAAAGAATTCAAGCTTGTACGTACGGCATAGGCATCGGTGGTGGAGCCGCAGCAGCTGCTGGAGCGGGCACTGGGTTCCCTGGCATTCCAGTTTTGACGATCGCAGCGCTTGACAGCGTGCCTGCTGCTGGAGGATTGGCGGGCGCATTTGCAGCGGCTGGAGCGCCGGCTGGAGCAGCGGCTGGAGCGGCGGGAGCGCCTGTTTGGACGATACGTGCGGTAGAGAAAGTTGAGCTGCTAATTGCTGCGTGCTGAGTTAGAAACAGATAGAACAAACTTTTGGGTCGTTGGGAATGAGCAGGGAAAATTCGCAAAGGAGATTGGTTCCAAATGTCACATTCAGAGTCTCGAGAAATTCTTGGGCAAGTGCTCCTCTCGTGACAATTGATGAAGTGAATTTAGCCATGTCTGTGAGGGGAGAGAGGACGAGAATGCGACGGAAGAGCAGGATAGACTTACCAGCAGCGGCAGGGGGCTGGCCCATCGCAGCCATTGCATTCGGGAAGGACCCAGCAGCGCAGAGACAAGAGCAGTCGCATGCACCACCTGGGAGCAGGGTTCCGGTCCCAGCGGCGAGAGCCCCTGGGGCGGCAGGCATTTGGGCTGCGGGAGGCGCGGGGGCCGCTGCTAGAGCGGTGGCTAAGAGCTGTCAGGAAGGTTCCTTCGAAGAAGTATGCAAAGGGTAGGAACGTACGCTGATTGGCGATGGCAGGATTATTCGTCTTGACAATGGCAGGCGTCATTCCACCAATTCCTACCGCTGCTCCAGGCGGAGGCATGGCTCCTGGAGGGGGCATGCCTCCTGGTGGGAGCATGCCTCCTGGTGGGGGCATGCCTCCTGGGGGCATACCTCCTGGTGGGGGCATGCCTCCTGGAGGGGGCATGGCTCCTGGAGCTGCTGCTCCGCTGGCTATATTGTTCATTAGCGAAGGTAATATTCAAGTCCGGAAGGAATCGCCTTACGCAGAGCGGCAGCAGCAGGATCGTTGGTCTTTACGATAGCAGGTATCTTCCCGCCACCTCCAACTGCTCCTGGAGGAGGCATTACGCCTGGTCCCATGGCCGGGGTCACCGCTGCTACGTTCCCCGACACAGTAACAGTGATGATTCGAGTGACCCTGTCCCATTTAGCATCCATACCCAAATTCTGGGGGAAATACATACCCTGCGCCTTGTGCTGCCAATCCTGCCGGTGCCGTGATTGTCTCCGTTACTGTCTTTATCGCTTCGCAGGTCCCGTTACTGGCACCTAGTGCTGTTACTGTGTTTGTTTCTGGCGCTGCCGCTTTTGGTGGTTTTGCGCCTTCTTGGTTCGAGCCTGCTGGTTTTCCTCCAGCCGGAATCCCTCCTGCCACAGTTCCACCTCCTTGACCACCTGATTGGAGCGCCCCGTTTCCTTGTGCTTGAGTTCCAGACCCTAGATTCTGCGATCCTGCCATTCCTCCATTGCCTGTGACCGAAATTCCTTCTCCAGCTGTAGTCCCTTTTCCAGCAGGATTTGCCGGAGCTTCGCCACCGATTTGGGTCCCTCCTCCTATTCCTAGTGCTTGAGCTCCAGACCCTTGGTTCTGTGATCCTGCTGTGCCTCCGGTGCCCGAAACTGTGATTCCTTGTCCAGCTGTAGTTCCTTTTCCAGCAGGATTTGCTGCACCTCCACCACCGACCTGAGTTCCTCCTCCAACTCCTAATGCTTGGACCCCAGAACCTTGGTTCTGTGATCCTGCTATACCTCCAGGGCCCGTCACTGTGATTCCTTGCCCAGCTACTTCTCCTTGCCCAGCAGGATTACTGCCTGCACCTGCCTTGGGGGCGCCACCTAGCGTCGACAGCAAGTCTGATAGTTCACTTCGTTTATGTTGATGTGAGAAAGGGACATCGGCCTGTAATCGCGTCAACTACGTCGCCATCTACCCTCCAATTGTGCTTACCCGTGCTAAACTCGAAATAGCCACCAGCAGCAGCGACGTGGATATCAGCCTCCGCATTATGAATATATGTAATTAGAAGCTGGACAATAATCCTAAAAATGTAAAAACCCAACAGACCAGCCGTGGTATGTTGAAAGGAAAATATTTGGGAAGCGATTTTGGAAGCGATTCCAAAAAAGAGCGTGACGGGCAACTAAGAGATACAGAGGCAAGTAAAAGACGAAGTGAAGCACAAGAGAATGCGATTCGAAAGCGTAGGGAAGCCAGTCAAGCGGAAACAAGATCAGGGACGATCCGAGACCGTGCGGGAAGGCAAGAAACCGGGGCCGAAAGCCATAACTCAGGCCTAGACAGAGAAATGCAGAAGGAGAGAAGGCAGAGAAGAGGCAAGAAAAGACGAGATGAAAGGGCCCATGGTCGACGTCGTGATTCTGTTACCCGGCAGAGCGTTTCGCGATGCAGACGCCACGAAGAGCCCGGCGATTAGGCTCACTTGGACGGGCAAACCGCCAGCTGGTAGTTCGATGGCGTCGTGCCAGGTCGTCTCATCCGAGTCGGAGAGTTGCGGTCGTCAGACACGGACACGGACACGGACAGCCGGGCATGGGCAATACAGTATTGGGAGGTGCCCCAGACAGAAAAGGTTTCAATGTTTCATCGCGGGTGCTAAGCGAGCCATGGTCGGACGTCTCAGGAGATCGCGGACCTCGCATATCACGATGTTAACAAAAGATGTATGCGATATGGGAAAGTGACGGGGAGATGAGGCCAAACATCTCGAGGCGATATTGGAAGCGGCTCGGTTTCATTTGACCAACAGCGCAGATAGGTACCTATTAGAACGTAAGTTCACAACTGCTCGCCTTATGACACTGACATTGCTTAAGCACTGCCAACGCGGCGCAAATCTGGGAGACCTTGTATAGCGAATCGCACGCTGGAGTCATGATAATGGGCATAAGCTCGTTGAGCGGGATAGTTTGGATTAGACCGTGAGCCAGATTTGTAGCGTGAAGCGTAGTCTATGATCTGCTAAGATGACGCTGGTGTGAAATCTGTCCAGGTAGAATTGTTCAAGAGAATATAAAGTCCAGATGCGCCGATAGAATACATATATTACAATGTAATATACGTGAATATAGATTCGTGTATGAATAATGACGATTTGACAGTTTTGACTTGAGGTTGAAATAAAGTCAAGCGTGAAGTCTTGGTCTTGGGTTCCAATATCTCCGAGCTCACTCGCTTGTAGCGGCCGCTAGCTCAGGACTTCCATCGATGACGCGCTGCATCTCCATACCCATCGTCGTCGTCGCTTGTTGACATCGCCTTCGCCTTCGCCTCCATCTCCACCTCCTCCCAAACCCACCTGATATTCGTGTGCTGCGGTAGTAGCAGTCAGGCTGATCTGACGTCAATGAGCGTCGAACTTAAAATATCCTGTGTCTCCAACCTGTAACTCTACTTCAACCGGTTTTTCTCACTGCTCCGAATACATATATATTTAGGTAGCCAGTACTTCGCTTGCCCCGTCAACATGGCCCTCCACGTACTTGATAATTACTACCTCGCCATCACCCTTCTGATCACAGTCGGCTATCAACTCTTCTTCTTTGCCATAGCCTTCTCCCTCAAGTTCGACAAGCTAACAGGTAATCCAACCCCCCCC